AGTGGTGATCCGAAGAAAAAGCGGCAGAGTAACGAGAGAATTTGTATATGTGTGTTGTGTAAATGAAATAACCTGCGCCCCTTTTATAAATGAAGACATGTAGAGGCTGTAGAGTTTTATCATACCATGAGTCTTCTCCTCAGATTAAATCAAAATTCCAAGAGTCCTTGAGGTTACGAACCTCTTTATGACTTGAGTATGATACCCTCTTTGGGCTCTGGTCACCTCAATGGGACGTCCAGCTACTTAGGTGCCCAGGTGCTGCCTAGTCCACGTTGAGCTAGGCTCCGCCGACCACCCACGTAACTAGCCTCCGCCGACCACCCATATACTCCAAAGGTACCATGGGCTATGCCCACCAGAACTTTTGCCTAGCGACCATGTACCCGCCTACCAAAGCATCCGCCTACCAAAGCCTCCACCTACTAAAGCATCCGCCTACCAAAGCACCCGCCTACCAAAGCCTCAGCCTACCAAGGCATCCGCCTACCAAAGCATCCGCCTACCAAAGCATCCGCCTACCAAGGCATCCGCCTACCAAAGCATCCGCCTACCAAAGCATCCGCCTACCAAAGCACCCGCCTACCAAAGCATCCGCCTACCAAAGCACCCGCCTACCAAAGCATCCGCCTACCAAAGCATCCGCCTACCAAAGCATCCGCCTACGACCCACGTACCCCAAAGGTACCATGGGCCGTGCCTACCAGATTGAACCACCCAGTTGAGTGCGACTAGAACCCGGGTCACAACCGGTCCTTTATGAGCCGCTACTAACGACCACATCAGACATCATCAAGGAAAGAGCTTATTAATAATATTTTCTTAATTAATAATTACATATATATATATAGATCAAATTAAACTCTTTTTTTTTTATTTTTTTTATTTTTCTTATATTTTCTCTCTAATATATTTTTATATGTGTTTTTATTAAAATTTGAATTCACATGGATTAATTTTCTTTTTTTTTTTTAGCTTTGGCTAGTTTTTTTGGCTTCAGCTGATTGTTTGGAATTCATGTATTAATAAATGCATCTTTACTTTTGTTTTATCAAGTTAAAATACTTCCACATAGGAGGAATATTTATTTTACCAATATTATTAGTCTTTTTTTTATTTTATATATTTGAAAATTGCAATTTTTGTTCTGTTGAAATTTCCAAACAATTAACGAAAATGTAATGGAACCATTGTTTTAAAAATGCGCATCGCGCAATGCGTCGTATTTTGGTCCTTATATTGCGTAGCCTAAATAGCGTAGCGCATTGCGTTAGCTATTCGAGCAATTCACTTTTAATGGCAAAATAATAACATATAATCATACAAGCGACTAAATAATTAAAATGGTCTTAAACCATAAATTAACTTGGACATTGAATCTAAAAAATGACATTCAAATATTAATTCTTCAAACAACCAGTCTTAATGTTTAAAGTAAAGACTCAAAATCTTAAAATGATCGCTGTTATCCAATTGAATTTAGATATCATCGTAAATTCTATTAAAGTTATGGAGAATTTCACTACAAAAAATAATTGGTAAAATTTCACCAAATTCTTGCATCTCATCATCATTTGGAGAAAATATGAAGTGTTCTTCCCATTTCACTTTTGAGCTTAAGAAACACAATCACATTATTCTAATAGTCTAAAAGGTCAGTCATAACTATGTTGATATCAATTTTTTAATTATTATTTTTTCAAGATAAATACAAAACATGATCTAATAATCACTCAAATTCGCCATGGGAGAAATTACTCAATTTGTGTCATACATTTTTTTT